TGGTAGTCCTGACCAAGCCGAGCATCAACATCTGGAGATGGGTTCCCGGGCGCTGTTACTACGGCGACCACCATTCCTGACGTAAGCATTAGTGGCATCAGGATGGATCAAATGCAGAAGATGAATTGCCCTACGGGGATTAATAAAGTGCACCTTTACCTTTACCTTGAATAAATTAACTGGTCCCTCACTCACAAAAGATTATATCATTAGTTTTCACACATGCATTTTTAGCCTGTCTGTTCATCAGCTCTCAGTTTGTAAAATATAACATAATAATGAAGCCAGAATATTGCGGTCTGATTTTATCCACAAAATGTTACAAGATTCTTTCTATTGGGAGAAACACCATGCATTTATGAAACTAAACACATACCTGTAATTGTTCTGCTTAACTTCAAACAACATTAATCCAGAATTCTCAATGTTTGGTAGTGCTCAACGTATACAGTACAAATCAAACCTGATGCATGAGCAGATGACCTTACGGAGGGAATCTAAATGAACAAGGCCTTAACACATCTACTTCTAACAGTAGTGAATCACAATAATCTCCAATGATTAAAGAACTGACCAGAGCACTTCCTGCCCCCACACAGTGTTGCTCCGTGTTTTATGAATGGGATTTATGTTTGCTGTGTTAACGTGACCAAAAGCAGCAGCATCCAGGGCAACAGTCCTACTATGACTCACTGTTTGTACCAAGACACTTTCTCTGTCCTAAAAAAACCCGGTGTGAAACCACAGTATAAAGTGGCACTGAATGTCTCCCAAGACGCAACCCGTATGAGGCTAAAGAAAGACTTTATAACGGCTTTTCCTTTCCAAAACTCGGATTGTTTTGTGCTGATTAAAGTGGCGCAAATCTGTGATGCAAAAAGAAACTTAATGTAGTTGTAGAATTTGAACTTATTACTTATCCAGGTTGTAAACTGCAGGTGCACTTGTAGTGGTCAGTTCCATGTGCATAATGAATCAGTGAGCTCCAATATTAAGGACAGCTAATCACTTTCGCACACATACAAACCCATACAAACTGCTCCATTCATTCATTGACATTTGCTTAACTATAAGACGCACACACAAGAGGAACATCAAATTTCAAATTTCAATCAAATTTATTTATAAAGCACAATTCATACAGTGTAACCCAAAGTGCTTCACAAGCAATAAAAACAGTGTATATGCATATAAAATATTGTAATAAAAAGTTAAAAGTTACGAACATTTAAAAAATAAATACTTCAGATTAGTCATATGCATACCTGAATAAGACAGTTTTCAGCCTGGACTTGAACATTGCCAGGGTCGAGGCCTGTCTCACAAGCTCAGGGAGACTGTTCCAAATTCTGGCTGCATAAATTTGAAATGCCGCCTCCCCATGTCCAGTCCTGACCCTAGGCACCAGCAGGAGGCCAGTCCTTGTGCTCCGCAGTGTCCTAGCCGGCTCATATGGCGCTAACATTTCTCGAATATACTGTGGTGCGAGGCCATGAAGAGACTTATACACAAGTAGAGCTGCTTTAAAATCAATTCTCTGAGCCACAGGAAGCCAGTGCAGAGACTTAAGAACTGGGCTAATGTGGTCGTACTTCCTGGTTCCAGTCAGGACTCGAGCTGCTGCATTTTGAATGTACTGCAGCTGTTTTACAGCCTGTTTGGAGAGACCTGTGAGCAGGCCATTACAGTAGTCTAACCTACTGGAGACAAAAGCATGGAGAAGTCTTTCTAAGTCAGGTTTAGACACAATACCTTTGATTCTGGAAATGTTTTTTAAATGATAAAAAGCCACTGACGTTATTGAATTTATGTGCCGCTGAAAATTCAGCTCTGTGTCCAGGACTACCCCAAGATTTCTAACCTGATTTGCAGGTTTCAGGGAGAGGGACTGCAGGTAACTGGTGACAGTTTCTCTTTGCTTCTGAGGTCCAAAGACAATTGTTTCTGTTTTATCCGAATTAAGTTGCAGAAAATTGCTTTGCATCCACACACCGATTTGCTGGATACAATGACAGAGTGAATCCAATGGTCCATATTCTCCTGAAGTTAGTGAGACGTAGAGCTGAGTATCATCAGCATAATTATGGTAGGAAACATTTTCATTGTGAATTAACTGGCCAAGTGATAACATGTAAAGATTAAATAACAGAGGTCCTAGGATTGACCCCTGTGGTACTCCACAAGTCAAGGCAATGTGGTCTGAAACACAATTTCCAATCTCAACATAGTACATTCTATCCTCTAGATAGGACCTACACCACTCTAGAGCCACCCAGTTCTCCAGTCTCTGTAAAAGGATTTCATGATCCACAGTATCAAATGCTGCACTTAAATCTAATAAAACTAGCACTGAGACTTTGCCAGCGTCCGTGTTCAAGCGTATGTCATTTACCACTTTAATTAGGGCAGTCTCTGTGCTATGGTTTGATCTAAAACCAGATTGGAACACATCAAATGAGTTGTTTGATAAAAAAAATCTCATCGGTTGTTGATAGACAACTTTTTCCAGAACCTTACTCACAAAAGGAAGATTTGAGATGGGCCGATAATTATTTAATACTGCGGCATCAAGGTTACTTTTTTTAAGGAGGGGCTTGATGACCGCAGTTTTAAGGCTCTTCGGGAATGTTCCGGACTCTAGTGACAAATTTACAATTCTGGTGATTGATGGTAACAAGCTGCTTACAACAGATTTTAAAAATGTTGTGGGTAAAAAGTCAACGCTGCAGGTAGATGAACTCAGTTTAAAAATTATATCATGGATCATGTTTTCATTAACGGGTGAAAAGCAGGACAGCTCCAAATGCTTAGGTGGCTGTGGATTCACTGTATGTGATGTGAACTGAATTGAGTTTTTAATACCTTGAACCTTTTCTTTGAAAAATATTGCCAACTCATTGCATTTCAGTGTTGTGTTTAATTCTAATGGCAAATGAGCTGGAGGATTGACTAAATTGTTCACTGTTTTAAACAGGACACGGGAGTTATTATCAGAGTTTCCAATAAGCTGAGAGAAAAAACTCTCTCTTGTTAAGCGTATGGTTTGATTGTACTCATGTAATTTTACTTTGTACATTTTCTGATGGGCCTCAACCCTTGACTTGCGCCATTTGCGCTCAGCTTTACGGCATTCCATTTTCTTTGCCCTGACAGCAGGTTCACTCCTCCATGGCGCTTTTTTCTTATTTCTAACCATTTTAACTTTAAGAGGGGAAATGGTGTCTAATAGAGTCACAGAATTATGAGTGACAGACTCTAAAATGTCATCAACAGTGAGACAGGAGGCATGGTCAAATTGAATATGATCAATAAAAAGTGCACTAGTCTTTTCATTAATGTGTGAAAAGACTAGTGAACATGAGGCTGACTGACTGACAGAAAACTATATTTGGTTTTAATAGAGTTAAGAACATATTTTTTACAGAGATGTTTTATGATGTACACTGGATTTCCTTTTTCAGAGTTGCACCTGCAAATAGCACACTTGAATCAGACCACCTAAAAATAAGCCAAAATTCTAAACACAGTGAATGGACGATAAAGTTTCAACATGTGGTCACCACCTTCAGCTCCAGAGACGTTTCTATTGTGTCGACACAAACACAGTCCCAGTCTACTGCAGCACCTGCTCTTTTCTTTATTCTTTATTTGATTTTAAGTGAGATAATACATGATTTTAAAATGACTTAAAATGACTTTCATTGATGCAGCAGTCCTGCACTCGCAGAGTTTTTCAATTTGACGCCTCTGAACCTTTGTGCTGAAGCTCTTTGCTGGATTTCAGGTTTCAGGATTCCTTTGACAAAAAACACACACATACATTTTGTTTTCCCGCCAATTCATGCTATGTCCGACAGACATGTGAACCCATAAGCACAGTTTTGATTCATACCGACATCCCAACCTCTGAGGCATTGATGAAAACCTTTTTTCTGCAGAGGACTAAGTTTCTTTCTCACATATCGTGAGCCCTGTCAGTCTCCCGTGGAGTCTAAGCTTCTGATGAACCACAATTTTCCACTTTCCTTCTATTTTAGGAAACACTGACTTCACTCACTCAAGGGAGTAAAGACTTTTCCTGTGCGACCTTCATGTTTTAGGAGATCGAGGAGCCGAGTCACGGGTCAGCAGTCACTCTGGGGCAGAGAAGTTTCCTCCTGAGGGAGAGAAACAACTATGGAACAACGAGTCTATTTTCAGATTGTGCCTTTTTATGATTCTCTTTAACATAATGCAATCACAACTAAATATATGACTGATGAATATATATTAACTTACAAACAACTTCTCTTATGGGGAATAAAGTTCGAGTCCATTTGTAAACCAGATATCTCCATTTTGAAAATGTGTCCAAAAGTTACATTCCTCGAGCCGCAGTCTGTAACACATTCTGTTAGTGGCAGTAACGGCAGTCGAGTGAGGTCAGGTTTATTTGAACATGGAATACATCTTAAATGATTTGAGTGAAACCTTATTTGTATAGCAGCAAAATGTTTATGGCTTTTCATTTATAAGACTTTCAAATATCATTCTGATTTTGCAAATTAACTTTTCAAAATAAGTTTGATATAGAATTTCAATAGAGTTTCAATAGAACCAAAATACTGTATATCTAATTTGAAATACACACAGACACTACAAAACACATCTGCAATTCTAATTTTGGTCAAACGTGTGACCATAAAAAAACAAATGCAGGCAAAATAGTAAAAACGAACAGATTTAGATGTACGTCGAGTAAAGTCTTTCCTAGAATCAACAATGAAAAGCTCATCTTTCATCCTCTTTCAACTTTCTGTGTATTTTGCCCACATTCCTTCCAGTTTGACGTCATTGCGCCCCATAGACCTCTCCTCTATAAAGACAGCCTGCTCCTGAGACCTCAGCCACATTGACAAGGAGATTCCAACCTCCTGCATTTACACAAGACGAAGAGGGAAAACTCTGAACAACTGGAATAAACAAAACTTTTATTTTTTTCATTTCAACTATTTTCAAAGATGTCGGCACACACTTTTTTTCTCTCCTTAATTTGGGCACAGGTATGGCTATTTTGAGAATTGCTTCTGTCATGTTTTATTAGCAAAAATAATAACCCATTTTGAAACAGACAGATTCAAAATGGGTTGGTATTTTAGTTTGGAAATAGAGTGCCTAAAGGAAACTGTTAATACGAGCTCCATTAATATCCTCTGGAGATATACATGTACAAATACTTCATACTATGTATTCTTTCTCTGTTTTTAAATATTGTTCTTTTTGTGTTTTGTTTAATATTGTGCACACAAAGTATTTACCTGTGAATTCATCTGGGAAGGATGGATCAAATGCAGAGGAGTTATTTATGGGAACAATAAATTATACACCTAAACTTATATCATTTCAGATTTGTGCAATGGCCTGGTCCCAGTTGTGTCCACGCACATGCCAGTGCCCGAAGGAACCACCCATGTGTGCTCCCGGAGTGCAGCTGCTTTTGGACGACTGCGCTTGTTGTCTGGTTTGTGCGAGGCAAAAAGGACAGCTGTGTTCTGACCTGCACCCGTGTGACACCCACAGAGGCCTGCACTGCGACTACACCGCAGACAAGAAGACTGGGATATGCACTTGTATGTATCTAACACTAGAGGTGATCTATTTATTTAGACGCTAGATTGAATTGTATATTTCTTCACAGCTCACAGTGGGAAGGTGTGCGTCCTGGATGGTGTGGTGTATCAGAATGCTCAGATTTTCTTTCCCAGTTGTAAGTACCAGTGCATTTGTCGGGACGGTCAGATCGGCTGCGTGCCCCAGTGTAATGTGGATGTGATGCTGCCTGGACCAGACTGCCCCATGCCCAGGCGGGTGCACGTCCCAGGGGAGTGCTGCGAGAAGTGGGTGTGTGAGCCCCCATCTGAGGCCAGTGCGCTGGGAGGCTTCGCCATGGCTGGTGAGAGGCAAATATATCACTTGTGTGTTGAACAAAAGATGTTAAGGTTAGGTACACTCCTCTGACCTCTTTAGTGAAAAGAGAGAAATAAATGAAGGAAAACAGTGAAATGTTTAAACAACAAGATAATTGTTGATCAGAACAGAAGCTGAAACCTTGGACTCAGTAATTGCACGTGGTCTCAACTTTTGTATTCGTTTCCTTATTGTTTTCTCAGCTTATCGTCAGGAGGAAACAGTGAGATTTGACGGCTGGGACCCAAGCTTAAACTGCATAGAGCAGACCACTGAGTGGGGGGCCTGCTCTCGGACCTGTGGGATGGGGCTGTCCACCCGAGTGACCAACAAGAACAGCAGGTGTGAGATGGTGAGGCAGAGCCGCATGTGCATGGTGCGACCCTGTGAGAACGAACAGAGCCAGACTCAAGTGGTTCCACTCATGCCAAAGGTACGTCACTCTTCCTCTTCTTACATATGACATTACAGTCCAAACATGTTCTTCACAGCCCTATGTGTCCTTTCAGAGAGGCAGTAAGTGCCAGAGGATGGTGCGCACGGAGTCCTCCACACACCTCTCTTATAAGAGCTGCACCAGTATCCAGGCCTACAAGCCGCGATACTGTGGCACCTGCACTGACGGCCGCTGCTGCACCCCTCATCGGACCAAGACCGCCCTGCTGGACTTCCAGTGCGCCAGTGGAAAAAACAGCCGGAGGCCCGTCATGGTCATCCTCAGCTGCGTCTGTCACAGTCACTGCCCCAGAGACAATGCAGAGTGGAATACACTTGTCTTATAGTAACATTTTTACAGATGTAGTCCTTTAGGTAAACAAAAAACATCACTTAAGCACTTAATGGAAAATTTTGACAAAGAATTGTGTGGTCATGGATCATTGGACGATGGTCGTACTCAACAGTTCTGTCTTTAAAATAGTTATCCTGAATAGACTAGGACTGTTCTGCTGTGAGCAAGAGAATTCTGTTGGAATTTTTCCAACCATGAGAGACATTTTTGACATAACTGGACTGTGTTCCCTGACCTGGTCTGAAGCGAGGCTCGGATCATGAAAGTGGCTCTTTGTTGTACTGTGGTGTCATTTCTAACAGGTGCATGTAACTGTAATCCCAGTGTTTAACGTGTCATATTGGAGTGCTAATTACATCTTTGCGAACGGAAAATGCTTTTAACTAATACAAGAGAAGTGACCTAACATTGACAAAGGTTTTGTAAATACTTGCTGTATAGTTTAAGTGTGCTTTTAAATGCACAATGTTTTAACAAAATGTAAAGAGCAGCAGTGATGTAAATATTCAAAAACGGTTTCACTGTGTATATGTTTAATAAAGATAATGTGATAATATTGAGATCTTTACAGAGAGAGAGAGAAAGTAATTTGCAATTCACACAGAATCATTACAATTTGTTCATAAAAAGGGCCCAAACTCTATCCCTGGGTCAAACCGGCTCTTCTAAGTGGCTATGTGGTCTGGACATGACGTGCAATAGCTTCACCTTAACGGAAGGTTTGACTCTTGAGAAAACAAAAGACAAAGTAGAACAAGTTTACAAGTAAACCGCCCAATCCAGGTTAATTACATTACTCACAGATTACTCATAGATTACTCATAGACTACTCATAGATTACTCATAGATTACTCTTACTCTCATAGATTAAACTGGGAGTTCTCATTGTACAAAGACACATTATTTACTTTTACACACAGTCTGAAATTACATTTTTTACTTTGTAGAAAGAAATATATATAATTCAGAAGAATCACCCCTCTCAATGTGGCACTGAGCCAAAAGATAAAATATAACATGTTTGCACACTTCTTTCTTTGCACAACATTTTCTTCGTCTTTAGTAATTCTATCCATGCCAGATGTGACATGTAAACTTATCCTGTGTGAGATCAATAAAGTCTATCTTATCTTATCTTAAATATGTAGAAATAACTGACAGGTGAGATAAGAAAATCACATGCCTTTAAGCAATCTGTGAACTTCTTGTTTTGAAGTTAGATTATTGTCAAAATTGTTTGCATCAGAAATAACATAGAGTAAAAGAAGTATAATAAACACTATGCCAAATACTATGTAGTAATTAGATGTACATGTATGTACGAGTTGCCCTAAATATTTTTCTGGATGTTGATATGTAAACAGGAAGAGTTCTCCTTTAAAGTTACAGTTTGTCATACACAATAAAACCGAACCACCCAATGGATGCACGATGAACAGAAGCCCCTTGTTATAATCTACACATAACAAAAGTCTGTCAGGAAACTGGATATTTCTCATTGGACACTCTGGTGAGCATGCACACACATTGTCACACCTCATGACCCATCTCCCCTGTGGTTTTGTGTCAAAAACCAGTTTACCGCGCTGTTTTCTATTGACTACACCGATGGCACAGCTGCTGTTGCTAGTGTTGGGAACATCGTAGTAAACTCTTCCAGTGGTGAAGCCAGCGTGCGGAGGGAGGCGTGAAAACCTGAACAGGACATTATTGTGCCAGATATGCACCTCTTCTTCACTCTCTGTCTCATCATTGACCTCTGCATCTTCCATCCTAGGTGCTGCCGCCCATTTTCTGCTTTTTTTGGTCTTCTTTGAGTTTCTTAACTTTACATAATGGTCATTTTTGACTACCTTGTTGTCTCCTCTTGTGCTGCTTGTCTCATTACTGGAACACAATGCACAGACCATTCCCTGGCCACAGCTGCTCTCCTCCAGAATCCTGTGGTGTTTGGTGCACATGTTCTGGTGCAGGTTTGGCACAGGATCTGTCAGTGTGTGTGTGGTTAAAGCGGCCACTCTGCGGTGAGGCTCCAGGTGTGCCGTGCAGTATGATGTCAAACACACCAGGCAGGTTTGAGCTGCTCTGCGCTTACTCTGAAGACAGCAGTCACACAGCACCTGGTCTGGGCCGCTGGGCTTTTCACTCTCACTCACATCATAATCCTGTTTAAAACTCTCCACAATGTCTCGGAACACAGTGTTTATGCTCAGCTTCAGGGACTTGTCGAACTCTTGGTTGCAGAGAGGGCATTTGCGCACCTTTTTGTCCCTCCAGTGCTGCTCGATACAGACTTGACAGAAGTTATGTCCACACGGGAGAGTCACTGGGTTCCTAAAAAATTCTGTGCAAATGATGCACTCAAACTGCTCTTCACATAACAAGCTGCTCTCTCCAGCCATAACTGTAAGACATCAGCTCAATTTGAAAATGGCACAAAACAATATACAAAACTAAACAAAAGGGACAGATGTTTACCTTCTCTGCCGTCTCTGTTGACTGTCTTCACTCGTGTTGCTCCAAAACAACAGTTTCATTTCTGTATAGGGTTGATTCCCCGCCCCTGTTACACGCCTGCAGCATTCTTTCAGTCAACATAGACTTACAACAAGAACAAACCGCATGAACTGATACAATGATAATGATTTTTTTGTGTTATATTTATATTATGATCGATCACAAGTGTACATAGGTTCATTTGGTGTCAATAGAGGGCTATATGTATAAATCCATGTGCTAAGGGTGCAAGTATAGTATCAAAATATAAAAAAAAAACATCTGCAATGTTTGTGCTTTCGTTCTATCTGCACGTGGTTCATAAATCTCTTTTACACACACCCCTAAAGTATTCTTTTCTAACCACGGCTTCCTCTGGCAACATTGTGGCCTATTTCAATCATGTATCTACCCTTTAGATTTCTACCAATTTAGATAAAAAAAAAAAAAATACTTTCAAGAACTTCAATAATGTATATGGATTTTGGTGTAAATTCAAATGGAAAAAACGTGATCAATTCTTATAAATGAAGTGTGAATTGTGGGCCCTATAGATATTGCGATTGGTAAAGAGGGCTGCTGCGTTCACAACTTTTGAAACAGTCCCATCGACTCTTTAACCTCTTGTTTTTGTGTGCTCTACATACAATTAGTGTTTGCAGATAAATAAATTACATTCATTAAAATATCTAGATTCTATCTTCTTCCATAACATGCCCCTTTATATTTGTTTATTTGTTATCAGGGTCATCGCCACAACAAAGAACAGGTTCCTTCATTAACATATAAAAGAGAAAACTCCATTACATCTCCAACACCTAATTATAACAAGACATACATATATATTTTTACCTGTGCCAGATAAAAAGCCTCCTAATGATTATTTGTAGTTTAACGAAAGGAGAAAATGCATGAACTCACCAAAAGAACAGTTTCTTCCTCTCTGCAGTTGGACTCATGAACTCATGCCCTCATACTTTATGCTAGTTGTGCTGGTATGTTAGATATGTGGTTTATGCAAACGTAGATTAACAGGAAGCCAAACTTGGTCTTCACAAGCCAGGAAACTGGGCGTCTGGCTCCTTTAATACAGTTCTTGTAGACCGGTTACATTTTGTGGCATGAAAAGCTTGCACGAATCTATGGAAATGAACAGAAATAAAGTACTTTATTTGCTCTATAAAAATACATAATTTTAATGTAATTGCTGCTAAACCAGTTAGTGGTGGAGTCTCTAAAACAGAGTTAAAAGCAAAAACATAAAACACAAAACACTTACAGTCATTGCTTTTTTGTAGGTGTAGATAAGATTTGAGAACAGTTGTAACAGCCTTCTGCTGCCTAGCAACCGATGCAAAGCAACCACCAGTGGGCTGAACCAAAACTTGGTAAACTAATGTTGATTAAAAGTTATTCATTTTTTAACACATTTTTAGCTTGTATAATGACAGAAGCACAACATATATTATTATAATGAAACAGTTAAACTGAAACTAGTACCAGAACACTACTATACTCACACTTTACTGCACTGCTAAATGTTTTTTGTGTGTACTTTGTGTACTTGTATATGGTAGTAATTGTAAGATATGGTTTATAGATTTTTTAAATACCTTTTACGCAAGCCTTACTCTACTTTTCCTTGTATAACTTGTTTGCACCGAGAGCCAACGCAATTTCCTTGTTTGAGACTTCTTGGGTCTCACAATGGCAATACAAATATTTCTGATTCTGAATGCTAGGAACATTAAAAGCCTATTTAAATGCATAAAAAAGTAAAATCATATGCTGCCAATATTATCTTAATGGAGTGCGCTTTATATGTTTATTTTTTGGTTTTAACCAATAACCAGTTGTGTAAGTAAAAAATAAAATCATTGTTCAAATTGTGACTGGACCGTCAATGTCATATCCTACCGCTAGATGTCACTAGAATGTTGTGCATGGCCAGGAGCAGATCCATGGGTGCAGACTGTTACAATGTAGCAGGCTAAAACAACATATTTAACAACACTTGCGTCCATATGTTGATGTTGTGTCTGAGAATAAGATTGTTGTCTATTGTCTTAAAGTGCCCTACACAGAAGTTCTTTTGTGTCAGCTGCCTGTGACAGAAAGCATGCTGACCCATGGGGGTGTGACTGAGCAGACCAGGGACAGTCACATCCCTAATCCATTTAGATCTTTATATCTAATCTATCTAAACAATTGGATGACAACTAAGAGAAAACAATGGGATTCTTATAATTTGACACCAATCGACCGTGTAATTTTATAGATTGTCACTTATTTAGCAAAAATACAGCGCTTGAAAATGACGTCCTGCATCGCAAAAAATAATGAAAAATAAGTTAAAAAAATTCCTCAAATTATTTCAGCACATTTCAATCGCCTCAAAACAAGATTTGCCAATGCCACTGATGAAAGGGACTGGCAAAATGATCTTACTTTTAAAAAAATACAAGAAATGTCTCCCTTGATGAGAAAACAAAGCAACAGTTATTGAAAAAAACTAAATGACTTTGTCTCGTTGGCAAATCTTGTTTTGAGACTCAGAATGAATTCAAATGAAGATAAAAAAACATCACAAAATCTTGTTTTTAAAGATTTTTTTGCAGTATACGTGCATTGCAAATTGTCCCTGTATTCATTTCATCATGACAGCTATACCGGATATGTATAACTTCATCATTAGTCTATTGCATATACCTGAAGGCTAAAAAATAAAAAAATACAAAAAACTTTGGGCGCTTTGGGAGGATTTATGGTGCCAATTTGATGCCTTCCTGTGCGTGTGAAATAGGCCTAAACGGGCTGTGACTGTTCTATGGATATGGATGATAAGGATGTGGGTATGGCTTTGTGACAGATGGAGTAAAATAATTATACCAGTGGAATTATTTCCTATTTCCACTGGTTAATAACAGTTACCCCAACTTTATGTGGCTAGTAACTGTGTAATGAGCCACTATTGTTTTTCACATTCTCATCCGAGTTTTCCTCATGTTTAAATGTTGAAAATCCTTCCTCCATACTGCATTGCACACTAACACATTTGTAAAGTCTATATTGGCTTTTGAACTATGTGCCGAGCGGAGTCACCCCATATACGTGCAACTATTCTTCTTTCACGTATTGACTGTGATTGAGTGAATAAAGGAAACAGCGGAAAGAGGGGGATCTCTCCGTGTCAGGGCTCTGTAACAAAACGCACACTCGCTCTCTCTATTTTTTCCTTTGAAGCGTCAAACCGGTACAAGCGCATTCCTGAGTGCGCGCAACCGAGAGGCGCATGGACCCGACGAGACCACTGCACTTATGCCTTGTACTGAAACCAGCAGAGGACACACGCACTCGTTCTATTGTGCAGCTTGGACTTGTCTTGGATGGACATTGAAGAAGACGAAAGGATGTTGCTCCGTGAAAATTAAGGCAATCCTCATTCACGCGTCTTTTAACTGGAGGAATTTGCGTTGACTCTTATCTCATTGCCGGTTTTATTTTTGTTTTCAATTAGTTGCAGAAGCCATGTTTTAGCTTGGATATAGCAACTGATTTTTTTACTCGCTTTACTCGCTTCAAGAGATGGGATGAATTGACCCCAGGGCGCAAACTCCACCCATCGGATAGTATCTTCAGCAGGCGGAGCGCAGGGCTTCTGTGGAAGGGGATCTGAGAACTCCCGCAGAAAAACTTCACTAGGGCAAAGTCCGTTCTGTGTGAGGACGTGGGAGGACAACACGCAAGGAACTCATTCGCGTGTGGCATTTTGGTGCAAGGAAGGATGCAAAGATGGCGCTTATAATGGGGACTGGAACTTGTCTGGTGCCAAAAAGTGAATTCATAGAAGTTTTGGTTCGCGAACAGTGGCATAAAGTTTTGGTGCACCTGAATGAGGAAAGTCTTACATTAAGTTGTGAGGAGAGTAGTGACAACTTGAACTCTAACGGCACCAGCCATGGCTCATACCTGGACAACAATAACGCCAACTCCAACAACGCGCCCCAAAGCGTGCGCTCGGTGTTCACGGACCTTCCCGAGCGAGTGCCAGAGACCATCGCCAACAGGAAGCGCAGCATTAAGGTGACCAAGCAGGAGGTCGGGGGGCTGGGGATCAGCATCAAGGGCGGCCGGGAGAACAAGATGCCCATACTTATTAGTAAGATATTCAAAGGTCTGGCTGCGGACCAGACCCAGGCGTTGTACGTGGGAGACGCTATTCTGTCCGTCAATGGAGTGAACCTGAGGGAAGCCACGCACGACGAAGCGGTGCAGACGCTCAAACGAGCTGGGAAAGAAGTGACCTTAGAAGGTATGTTGTGACGAAAGACACAGCTTGTCAAACTTCCTCTAACATTATGCACTTTTGTCCATGCATGTTAAACCAATATCAGAAGCACACGAGTCCAACCTAACAATGCAGCCGTTCACAGTTTTACCATAAGGAAAAAAACATTTTGATTAAACTCATGAGTAGAATAATCTAGATCTAGACGTACCCAGTGTATCACTATTGACACAAAGTGTGTTCGTTCTCTCGTCAGAGAAGGTCAGGTGACGTGTAAATGAGTGACTGGATCATAGTGCACTTTACATTATACAGTATTACCTTCAACAGTTATCATTGTTTCCGACAGTGGTGACATGATGTTCTTTCAAAAGTAAACATTATGATAAAACGTATCAAAGTGCTGGTGCCAATGAAATGATAATGTACAGTTATTTGTTTCTTCCACCAAGGCCACTCTGATACGACCCTGAAGTGGATATTATTCTAAGTGCGATCTTGAACAATGAATATAATGAATGGCATTGTTTTATCTCAGCGTGTCCTTGAGCCACCAGTCTTGCTGCAAAGCATCTATGCCCCTTTATACGGACCTAGATGGAAATGCAACCTTTGTCACTCATATTTGGTGAAAAGTAATACTATTTGTCAGATTATGGGGAGGGGGTGGTAAGGGCAGAGCAGATGCAGTTGCTGAAGTGGCTCTTGCCAATGCAAGCTAATCATTTGCATGAACACAAACATGATGCTCAGCATCAACAGTGTTTGCAAGCGTAATACAGAAGCCACCTAAAAGACAAAGCGTCATTTCCCCTTTAAACCGCACACAATGTTTCACACGAGTGGCCTCTTGTAAGTTCACTGCAGCTCTTGTGACTGCTCTACAACAGTCTCTCTTCTCTCTCTCACTTATTCACATGCATACATGGTATGATGATCCCTCCCAGGGGAGACCAGGCTGAGCCACGTCTTAAGCAAAAAACTTACTTAGATAAGAGTGAAGCAGGGGCAATTCAGATACAAGACTTATTATAGATTTAATATGGAACCACAAGGAGGGAGAGCGATACCGGCTGTAACAAGTGAAAAGATATCAGGCTAATAGTCAGGGTTAACTTCAAGGTAACGGAAAAAAGTAGAAGTTCACCAGAAAACGGTTTGATGAGAAAGATAAACAAAAAAGCATCAGGTTGTGGTAACAGACAGGTCCTGAGGGCAAATTGCTACTTGTGTTATGTAATACTGGGAGGCAGTAGCTCAGTCAGTAGAGTAGTCTTATCTCCACGCTCATAGGTTGCCTGTTTGCTCTGATAGGTCCTTTTATATTGTGTCCTTAGTCCAGACACTTAAATGCATACATATCATATGCAGATATTTATCAGCCCTATTGAAAAATGGAAACTACCGTCCATCCATCCATCCATTTTCTACCCTTTAATCCATTTCTGGGTCAGGGGGTGGCAATCATAGATGCCACCCAAGTCTCATAGCACCAGCCCCTCACTGACCCTCTGCAGGTGGTGAGTCCACAGGAGGACGGCAGTGTGAGCATAGCCTTGATCTTTCAGTGGGGGCTTTGGGCAAAGTGGGGTTAAGTGTCTTGCCCAAGGACACAACGACAGCAGTCATCAGTGGGAGTCAGTGGAGAAGGTGTAGAGGTGGGAATTGAACCCACAACCTTCAGGCCAATGCTGAAGGCCAATGCTCTACCAACTGAGCTACTGTCGCCCCTGAAACTACCGTATCAACTGTAATAGTAGTTTTACGAACATAACCGAGGATACTTTGATCTGTGCCATGAATGAAGTCTTGTTTTCTCTCCTTTTCTGAGAGACCACCAGAACATCAGCAATGTTTTGAGGAAGGTTACCAAGATTGAGCAGTTTGGTGTAACAAAACTTGTAAGTTCAGTAAAGATATCTCACTAAAAATTCACTGAAATTTTGAGTTTCATTTTTTGATGGCATCCTGTTTTTAGTGTTAGCGGCAACCAAAATAATCAGGTTTCCTCTCAGGCACAATACGTGACAATTGAATCAAATCACAATAGCTGCAATTAAAAGACTATCCTCTAGGAAGAACAGAATGGCCGGTCTTTCATATAGAGAAGTTGTGTGGTGCTAGTTAAAACACATGAGACTTTTGTTGCACCGTGCAGCCCTCTTCCAAAGGTTTTCCTGAGAGTCACAATCGCAGCCTTCAGCCAAACGACTCAACGGTGCATTTCCATTTGAAGATCATTGCGTCATATGTCTCATAGCAAGCAACGATACTAAAATAAGAGTACGGAGTGTGCTGCATAGTTATGGAAACCGGTTGACTTCAGATGAATAAAACACACTACCACTTGTAATCAGTGTCAAATGCTGGGCCTATAATAAAGCAGCATGATGCAAAACAATGTGGAGAACACGAATGATTTGAGGCTATTCATCAAGACCTTTATATAAATATTATGTTACTGCAGGACCATTGTGTAGGTGTAGGTCTTTTTATGAATGTTCACGATACAGAACCCAGCTCTAGACACTGCACATGTTCCTCTTCAATTTCAATTCAATTCATTTTGTACAGCCCCAAATTACAACAGCAGTCGTCTCGGAGGACTTTGCAAAGTTGGGTGATTCGCCAACAAAACGGGGAATGCAATGATAACAAACACATATAGGTCCATAAATGTTAATAAATTTGCATAAATGTCTCTGGCATTGTCTGTTTTAGAGTCATGTGTTTAAAGATTGGCTGCACAAAAAGGAAAAACACAAGAACCAAGATAGAGTTGGGGTATTATTGGACACTGTTTTTTAATTTAAAAAATAACACATGTTGTAATTTACGTTTTCTGTAAAAGTAAAATACCACCTGAGTCACTATTGGACGCTTTGGGCTGAGAGCTGATTGGTCGAGTGAAGGTGCTCCTCTCTTTTTCAATTTTCTGTCTGAAAAAGCTAATCTAAGACATTACATGTGTGTGAAAACTAGTGATCAAATCCAACTGTTTTGAGAGCATGGAAATAGTCAGACAGATTATATCCCATTCATAATAAAAACATAAAAAAGTCCCCATACGATTAATACAGCAAAAACGTGAGGGGACAAATCACAAAATCCAATTATATTTGTTGTCATATTGCCCAGCTCGCACAACATAATATTGTTCGTTTTAAGCAGTGTTCAAACTTTGCCAAAAGAAAAACAATGACACTGGACCATCTGCCTTTTTAAAATTCAGATGGGAAGTGTGTCTGACCGATGCATTCCCCAGCGAGCCCTTTAACAAGCCTTACCTGTCACTATTTGACACATAAGGGGCCCATGTCGGCAGTAAAACCCATCGGTGTCATCTGTCGTAATGTCTAGACTCCGCACTCAAGTCTATGAGCGATACAGAGATTGCAGCTGACCGATTTTGTCATTAGACTCTCCATCATTCCTGTTTGTACAATGATTCACGATGAGCTGGTGAGATACCTTTGTTGTGGTGAAGATGATATACGCCAACATCGGTTTTGTGAATGTTTTTCTGTCAAAACAAACGCAGAAACACAGAGCGGCTTTTTTTCACCGGTTATCTACACTCACACAAAATAATAGACTCGGCCCAGGTTTGATCATTCTGCTGATGTTTTGCATGTGTTAGAAAAGCTGGAATATTGTCAGACAAAGCGAATGCCTCAGACTAGTGGGGGCTATCACAGTACAAAAAAACTATATTTGTGAGCTGAGACCCTTTTTGCTCATTGCTATATGCCATGTATGATTAAGCATTCATTTGCGTTGATCTTATAAGGTCGGGTATTTGATTTTAAAACCATAAACAGTAGAATCATGTATTTAAAAGTATTTCAAGTTTGAGAACGTAACCTCAAACCACAAAAGAATTTGATTTGTGATAAAGTCTATTTGACAATCACCAGTTTTGAGATTGTGTGGCCTCGCTCGCGTCTTTTGATAATATGCAAAATATAGAAAAAAACAAGACAGCGTGTTGGTGGTATATAAAGTACCATAAGGTATATAAGGTACAAAAGGATGAAAACAAAATGAAAATAAAAAGCATGTTGTGGTCTGATTTGTTTTTTCTTTTACAAACCCTTTCTATAGGGACCAGCACAATTGTTTATTTATGGAGTTAGCGACCCCAGCTTTTGCTATAATTTGTCTCCCAAACAGTTTGAGGAATGGTTTTTTCATGCATGCTGCTTTTGGCCTCAAGAACATCTTTTTCAGACATTTATGATTAGAACTTTGGCTCAACCAGTCGCTCTCACCTCAAATTGTCATAGATTCTCTTAAAGCTCTAGTTTTTTCTTGTTCTAAGATATTTTCTAATTGGACGAGGACAATCAGTGGTCTGTTTCTGTGGCAAAACACAATTTATACAGATGAGTAAACACAGATTTCATTCATGTCTTCCTTCTTCATCATATTTAATATACTATGAAAATATACATATATAAAATACATATGGTGCGACAGTGGCTCAGTTGGTAGAGCATTGACCTTTGAACCTGAAGGTTGTGGGTCCAATCCCACCACGAGCCCTTCTCCACTGACTCCCACTGATGTCTGCTGTGGTTGTGTCCTTGAGCAAGACACTTAACCCTACTTTGCCTGAAGCCCCTGCTGAAAGATCAAGGCTGTACTCTCACAGACAGAGAGGCCATCTTCCTGTGGACTCAAGCTACTAAAATGTGTATGATGCTTTTTTAATTCAATCTTGTGTTTAGTAATATTTTTGATAACATAACATTTTGATATATTGATATATTGTAGGTGGGCAAGATGTGGGTCTCTGCAAACAGAAGCACAATAGATCCTTTCTACAAACAATCTTAGATCAATAAAATGTAAATACATAAATAATCTCAGCATCAAGTCGGGTGCTTTATTTTTTACTGAATTATATGTAAAAGCTTGACTATATCAATTCGCATCAATCAGAATAAGGCCCTGTATTATTCTGTGTTTTCGCATCGGCAAACTCTAAAAGCTACCAACCTCACTAACTGCATACATTGTGA